AAGTGTTCTACAGAACATTTAGGATTAGAATAGCTTTCTGAAGTTTAGGAAGTTTGGGGTGTTTTGGAAGGCAAGATGTTTCAAAGGGCAAGGATGGCAAAAAGAAGATATAAGATAGGCCCCCCACTCCAATTTCTCACTTCATGAGAAATGGATAATGTTCACAGGCTTTCTCTTAAAAATGCAGGAGGCTGGCTAAACAGAAGATAAGAACTTGTAAGGTCCCAGGTTCAGAAACTGTTAGAAAACAGAAGTAACCTTCAAGTCCTGGGAAGGCAGAGAGTATTAAGAAGAGACTTAAATGTTTCCTCCCTGACTCACTAGAGTATAACAGAGAGGGGAAACACAATCAAATTTGCAAGATTGTATAATTATACCCTACAATAAATACCTAAAAACCTTTATCATTATTAATTATTAAACATTTAAACCAGGGGTAGTCAACCTTGGCTCTTTTATGACTCGTGGACTTCAACTCCCAGAATTCCTGAGCCAGCTAAGCTGGCTCAGGAATTCTGGGAATTGAAGTCCACGAGTCATAAAAGAGGCAAGGTTGACTACCCCTGATTTAAACCATAAAAGACTATAAAAACAAAGCAAGAACAAAGAAATAGCAGACAAAGGAATCTTAATAATGGAGCCACCTCACTTGTTCACCCAGCTTCTGGTGAAACCACATCTTAAGGGACCTATGGAAGCTCAGAAGACATGAGGTTAACTTCACCTGGGGGAGTGGGGGGGGGAGAAATTCCATAGTGCAGGCTCCAAAGCAGAAAAGGCCTGCCAATAAGTACTAATACAAATCAAAATTTGCCATGTGGTTGCCAATCTCCAGTGCAATGCTATCTCTGCTCCTTCCATGTTTCGTTTGCCACTGAACCTCACCTGGAAGCCAACTATTCTGTATCTCAAGCTTGAGCTCTATGATTGTGCTACACAGACTTTTCACTTGAATGTCTGAGTCCCAAAGGTGCTTTTTCACGAAGCAACTGGACTTCCTTTTTTCTCTTTGCAGACATTTTTATTTCATCCAAGAAGCTTCTTTATGGTGGGGAATGGAAGGATTTATATTCCTTGCAGACAGTGGTCATTTGCATTCTTTTAGCGAGTTGTTGATGCCACCTGGAGGCTTATCTGTGAGGTCAGGGTCACCTGAGTAGTGCAAATGAGTGCAGAGCCTTCTTGGAACTGTTGAAAGGACTATGTTGTAGACTGGAGATAGATGATGTCGTATCCCTCCCCCTCTGTTGAGAGAAGGCTGTTCAGTTTTGACATAGATGGCCTCTTTGACCCCTCTTTCAAGCCAGCAGTCTTCTCTGTTCAAAATGTGGTCTTTGTCTTTTAAATGTAGATGGACTGCTGAATCTTGTCCTGATGGGTTTGTTCTCCTGTGTTGTGCCATGCATTTAGGAAGTGGTTGTTTTTCCCCCCAATGTACAGATTTGCACATGACTCATTGAATTATACTGCATATACCATGTTGCTCAGTTTGTGTCTGGATTTAGCAGTCCATCTAAATTTAAAAGACAAAGGCCACTCTTTTGAAGACAGCAAAGTCCACATTTTGAACAGAGAGGACTGCTGGTTTGAAAGAGGAGTAATCTCATGCTGTGGATAGGAAAAGACACATATAGGAAAATATTATAAATACTGACCAGCAGTGGTTTCAATAGATTTCACAATCAAACTTCACAATCAGACTACCTTGGATTACAGGTAGTCCTTGATTTACAATCATTCATTTAGTGACTGTTCAAAGTTACAATGGTGCTGAAAAAGGTGAGTTATAACTGTTTTTAACACTTATGACCATTGATCATGTGATCAAAATTCAGATGCTTGGCAATTTTTCTTCCTTTACAAGTACTTTTTCAATTTCCCTATTTCTTTATGTATTCTGTTTTGAGCCACCCGCCCCATATAGATACTCTGTAGGATAACTTTCTTTTGAATTTAATTGAAGTATGGGAAGGCAGAAACAGAATGGGACAACTCGCCATGGCCACTGTGCCACGGCCATCACCACTGCCAATTCACCAGGTACAGAAAGGATGCCAGTTAATGAAGTGAGAGTACAGAACATCCACATACACTCCTGGCTATTTAGTAGCTAATTATGAGAATCCATGAAAATTTTAGAAAAGTTTGTTCTTCTTTGAAGAAAAAAAACAAAAACCATTTCTTCCTAATTGAATCAGCATGATTGAAAACAGTTTTGTACAATAATTCCCAAAACAAAATTCTCGGGCCAGGAGACACATTGTGATGTTAGCAGACTTTGAAAGATCCTCTGATCATCCATAAGTAAAGGATGTAAATATGCTTTTTATTATTATTGAACTTTTATATATTAAAAGAAAGATATCTCCTAATAATTCTTCTATCTTTCTTCACTCGCCACAAAACATATAGTTATTCAGGCATAATTAGTTCAAATAGTTGTAGGTGTCCACTGGGGAAAAAAAGAGTTTTATTGTCCGTTTCTGGCAACATTCTCCCTTACGGCGCTTGCCTCATGTCTAGAGAATGAAAGCCACTAGCAATTATATTGTTTTCCAGAAACATCATCCTTAATCTAATTAGAGACAGCCTTGTCAAATAATGTAGAGGAAGACAGAAATTAGCCTTACTTGAACAAATGAGTTCTGACACTTTCAAAAATCAGCCATAAATGTTTTCATGCAGAGTTGCTATCAGCTTAAAAGCAGGGAATGACACAGAATTTAATTTCTCGGGTTTTTTCCCCCCAATTAATTGTAGAAATAACAGCTACTGTGACTGACGGTATTATAGGCTTGATTAATGTTCATGAATGCTAAAATATTTGTGAAAAATATTTTGCCTTCTGCTATCCATTAATACGGACAATTTCTAAGATGGGTGACAACTGGGTTTTCAATAACCTACTTATCTTTAACACAAAGAACAGAAATAAGAGATACTTCTGATCTTTTTTTAAAAATCAACATATTTGTAATAACTAAAGTGTTATATTTTTCCTTGCTTTTCTTGTGATACTTATATTTGATCTCTACTCACTGAATGGTATTATTGTGCTGTAATGATATTGTATCTACCGTGTTTCCCCGAAGACCCAACCGAAAATAAGCCCTCACATGATTTTTCAGGATGCTCGTAATATAAGCCCCACCCAAAACTAAGTACCAGTTAAGATTGTCAGCCAAACGGACGCATTTAGTACTGTAGTTCCCTGAATATAAGCCCTAACCAGAAAATAAGCCCTAATGTGGTTTTGGAGCAAAAATTAATAAGACCTGGTCTTATTTTAGGGAAAACACGGTATGCAACACGTACTGAAAATGCTGCTATAAAAACCATTTGAAATCATAAAGACTATATTCAGACCATTGATTTAACAATTTTTCCTGCAATCTATGATCATGCTAGCATCCTTTGCTCTGTCCTCATAGCCAGTCCTTAATCTGACTTGGCAAGTGTTGCTGACTTAATAGTTCACGGTGATGTGGCTATTAATGAAGTGTCTGCCAGTGACACCCATAAATCATTCTCCTTAATGTAGGCTGGGTCTGGGTGAAGAGGCAAGTTGATAGATGACCAGAGTGGCAGGCTTTGTTTGCAGAGTGGGATCTTTCCATTCTTGTGTTACTTGAATGCCTTAGCTCATCACATGTAGCACCTACAACATCTGCAGATGATCTGTGTGCTGGGTAGGGCTGATAGGCAGTTAGATGGTTAGCAGATCAAGGGTAGAGTGATGTAGGCCTCACTGTCCTGGTCCCTTCTAGGATATTTATTTCTTTATGTGTTGGCCCACTGACTTAGAAAACAAAAATGCCATAGCTGATAGGTAAATTGCAGAGCAGAGGGAGGATCCCAACCCTGCTATATCCTCACCAAGTACTGCACTTATTTGTAGCAAGTCTTATATTGGAGAAAATGCCAAACTTCACTTTCTTATCAGATCAGAACACTCAAAAATTGGGCAGACACACTTACCATTTGGATGGGTGGAAGGGGGAAAGGCTGAGCATCTTCAAGGGGAAGATAAGGGAACAGATGCTTTTCTCAAGAATCATTCATTGGGAATTCAGATAAGGTTTTATAGTAGCAGACCTTTTGATCAATGTTCCTGAATGCTTTTTCAGTTTTAAATGAGGTGTAGATTTTTTTAAATTAGGTTTAGCAATTACAAATCTGTATTTTACTGATTTTTAAATTGGCCATTTGGTCTTTTTTTTTTTTCTGTAAGGCTTAAAAGCCACTGGAATATAAGCATACCCAAATGTTAATTTGCCCTTAACATTTTTTTCAAATTTGCTTGTGGTGCTAAATATGCCAAGTTATTTGCTTGAGAATGGATTCAACAAGGTGAAAATATAAATAAAAAGTTTATCGTCCAACAATCTTAGAATAAAGCAAATCTTGAATACAAGATATAAGAATGCAAGGTAACACGATCCAGTACATATGTTTTTTCCTTATTGGCTGTTTTAATAATAATTGAATGAGTCATAGTATCTCCATTCATAGACTGTTGCTGTTTACATGATTTGGTGAACAAACCCCAAGCATGAGTTGGATAATATGCTAACTCAGGGGTAGTCACAGCTGGCTCAGGAATTCTGGGAGTTGAAGTCCACGAGTCATAAAAGAGCCAAGGTTGACTACTTGTGCTAAATCATGGTTTAGTCTACAATGGATGGATTCGAACAACACAATAAGCAAAATCAAACCAACCATATTGTAATTTAATATGATTTAACCTTCTTTCAACTTCCAAGGAACACTTACCTTCCCACAAGTGAAGGCTGGCTCCTGATGATCAGCTGGAAACATACATAATTTTTTTTAAAGAATGTAGATTTTTTTTTAATTTTCCATTTGGACTAACAATTGGAACATACCAAATATGATTTTATAATTATGACTGTAAGGAACTATTATTTGGAATAAAGTGCTTGTTGCTGAGAAAGGTTACATTTTTTCTTTTTACTATCAGTTTTCCCTATTTGCTTTAGAATTATCAAGAGGCTTCTAAGTTGGAACAGTTTGTGACTCACTTCTTGTTAAAAGAAACTCTGAATCAACTACAGTCTCTGCATAATTCCCTGGAATGTGCCATGGAAACCACAGAAGAACAAACCCAACAAGAGCAGTAAGTTTCTTACTATTGTGTCACAGTGGCAGCATGGTGGAAATTATTTTAGGAAAGAAGCTACTATGGACCAATGTCTTGCTCAATTTAGAGAATGACACTTTGCTAGTACTTCTATAAAATAAAACCTGCCCTGAGATTCGTAGTTAGATTGAAAGTAGCTGTCCCAAAGGTGCTTTTTCAGGAGGCAACTGGACTTTCTTGTTTTTTCATTGAAGACATTTGTTTCTCATACAAAAAGCTTCTTCAGCTCTGACTGGATGGTGGGGAATGGAAGGATTTATACTCCTTGCAGGTAGCTGGGCATTTACATTCTTTTAGAGCAGCGGTTCTCAACCTATGGGTCACGACCCCATTTGGGGTAGATCGACCATTTCACAGGGGTCGCCAAGCAAGGCTGTCCGCCATTTTTCCCCCTTTTCCGGCGGGTGCCTTACCTCCCTTGAGCTGGGCCAGCTGGTGGTCGGCCTGCTCCGTCTCTGCCGCTTGCCAGCTACACCTCAGCCGGCGCAGGGGGCGGAACCACGCATGCGCGGCGCTCCCGGGCAGGGAAAGTCCTCGACTTACGACCGGCTAGGTAGTCCTCGACTTACGACCGGTTTAGTCCTCAACTTACAACCGGTTTAGTCCTCGACTTACGACCGGTTGGGGGTTGCGGTATTAAAAAGGTTGAGAACCACTGTTTTAGAGAGTTGTTGAAGCTATTTCTCAGTCCTCAGGATCACCTGAGCAGTGCAAATGTTTGTGGAGCCTTCCTGGTTGCAGGATGTCTTCTGCTCTCTGCCCCCTCACTGCCGAACACAGGCACAAGCTGTTGGGGATACATCTGTCCTGTCTGTATCCCAAATCAAAGCACATATGGTTTCTGTAGTCCACAACATTGGAGTTTTTTTTAACTTGCCTGGTTTTTATTTTGATAACTAGTATATCTAGGGTCAATTTTGTGACAGACAAAAACAATTAAGTTTAACAAGGTTTGTCTATATGTAGAGGGTTGCAAATAGATTCAAAATACAAATAATTTAAATAATGAACTGCTTTATGTATTTTTTCCTAAAGGCAAGTCCCAAAGAAGCCAGAGGTGCTCAAGATACAACACCCAGGAAGACGTTCAGGTCGAAGGCTCCAGAGAAATAATAGTTTTTCTCCAGTTAGTCCTCTTTTGAACCCAGGTAATATTGTTTAACGTTTACCATTGTTTATTCATTCTTTAAAACTCATGCAAGTAAGATATCATATAAAATTAATGAAGAAATAAATTTCATTTTTAAAAAATGTATATAATTAATCAGTTCTTATATTCTGACCATTTTTAATATTTATATTGTGTATAGTACTGGCTTTATATCTGCCTCTTGCAAGTTTTAAAATATTTCAATGTATTTGAATTATAATATTTTAGATATATATTTTAATATATTCAGAAACAAATACATTGAATACAAAATAATTTGAGGTAGCCACGTATTCATCCTGATAACCCACTTTGATGAAAAGACCATCTCCACCTTTATGGTCTGTTTTTATTAGTTGGATGTGGAGAACATATACTGTACCTCCACCCTTCTGAACAATTGGCAAGTTGATCCAAGCCTCTGGTTGACTTTGTGAAGTAATTTGCTCCCATCCCACCAGTACTCACTTTAGCAGAAACCTAGTCTTGGCTGCTCTCAGAAATTAAGCAAAGTTGATCCTCGTTAGAATTTAAATGAACTATTTTGAAGTTGTAAACTGCTGTGAAGTGTTTTAAATAAGAAGTGGTGTGTGTATGTATGTAAATAAATAATATATTCCAAGATTACTGGTGACACAAGAGTTAAAAAAAAACAGAAGAAAACAGCAGTAAACCAAGAAATGGCTGCCCAAAAAAATTCAGAGGGCTGAATTAAACTTGCAGGCATAATTATATTTACTAATATTTATTCGGGGTGGGGGGGAATTAGATGCAATGCAAGCAATCCATGAGGAATGGGATTTCCTACATTTGCAAAAGCAGCAGTAGAAATATTTAAATCAAGACAGAATCAATATGGGATTTATACCTTACTTACATAACTTGTCCAGTGAAACAAAAAATTCCTTCCCTCTCCAAGAAACAATTCATAGATATCATAAAAGTTTGTCTTATTAAGCAAGTACATTCTTCAATCATGTTTTTAATTCAGGTATGTATGTTTTACAAAGGTTTGCACAAGGAGGACAACCACTGGATGACCCAAATAAACAGACTTCAGAAGCTGATTGACAAGCTAGAACAGAAGGTGTGCATGACCCTTCATTACTTCTCTCTTTCCTACTGGAAGCTTCTGTAAGACATATGATTCATTATTTAAGGTTCCTTTTTTGTTTAAGGATCTCTGAAGTTTAGTTTGTTCTAGAAAGAGGACAAATTGATCTGTACTCTTTATAGACCCTCTTCATTCATTCACGTTGTGTATATTTTCATTAAACCAAAAAGAAACACAGTACAGGGCATGTCTACCTCCAGCATTTAAGGAGTCTGTTTATCCACTCAATAATAGGGTAACTTTCCAACAACAGAATACAATGGAATCAAATTTTATGTGGTGAGAGAAGCTGACAAAAGATCCAGTTTGAAGGTGATATGAATTGGAACAAGGGTTGTGATTTAATTAAAAAAATAGGAAAGGAAGTTTTATTTAAAAATAAATAAGTTCAAGAAAAGCCACAGCTGTTATTAGGGGAAAAAATACAAATACAGTATAACTGTTCTTTGTTATTGAGCAGGTACACAACAAAAACTAATATATAATAAAAAGCACACAATGACTTCACAGAGCAAATTAAGACATACTCTGGCTCTCTTAATATCTTTATTGCCTTTCAACATAGGGTAGATAAAGTTTTATTAATCATTAAACAACATGCATAAAGGAAGTTCCAGGAAGCCTGATGTATTACTTTTGAGAGAAAGGATGCATTTTGATTGTCCAGGATATACTTACTTTTAATCCCCATATTTAAAAAAGTGATATTTTACATGTAGATTATATTCTAATCTACCACCCATTGCAAATCCTATTTTCCTGCAGATTTGGCTAGCTGAAATTATTAGTGTATCACCATCTACTGTTTCATCTACTATCTGTTGATTGCTTTATCATTGCAGCAACCATAGTTCCTAATGTTTGTCATGTGAGCCATCTTCAACCAATTCCAGACAAAAGTAGTTTTTAATTCTGAAAAAGAGGAAATACGTTGACCATAAAAATTGGCTTTTATGGTCAGCCATAAATCAGAAGAGGGCTCTAGTTGGCAGTATATGAGGCTCCTTTGGCATAGTCCTGTGTTCTTTCTTTTCAAAAATATTTGTAACTATTCTAGCAACCTCTATAGATGTATTTTTGACTCCTAAAATGGTGCCCATCACTTATCTCTATGCGCAAGCTATTGGATCCAGAGGACAATGCTAGACTGTTTCCCCAAGAATGGGAAATAATCTTTTCGATACCGTTAAATTCCACTCCATTTTTACAGTATATGATATTTTCTACCAAAATTGATTAGGGATCACAGCATTGGTGATTTTTTATTATTGAAGATTGTTAAATCATTAGATAATCCTTATACTTTTGCATTTCCTCTTTATTGGTTGACAAGGACCTAAAGCTCGAGCCACTAGAAGAGGAGGTTTCAGAAGGAAATACTAAATCTGTAAGTCATATTTCCCAACTCCACCCCATGGATCTATATGAATGGAAAAGCAGAAGGAACAGAGTTCTAAATCTGTTCTGGGACTTGCTAATGCTGGCATCTTCTGTTCAATCCACAATCTTTTGTGGCACTTATTTCTAATAAAGGCCTTCTAGAAACATGATCCAAGAATCTCACAATTTTATTTATTTACATGTTGCTGTACTCCTGTTGCACTCAAACATGAAAAACTTTGCTTTTGCTTTATCTATCATTTGACCTTTAGAACTGGATTCAGACTTAGTCATTCTTTGACTGATCCATTTTAAAATCAATGAAAGGACTGAATATTTCCTATGATAGCTAATTTACCTATTGTCATTTTATTGTGTGCATTCTAGTTTAATAAACTGCTTTAAAAACCTAGATATATTAGAAGTAAGCTTTAGAAGTATTATTACATGTTGAATTCATAAAGCAAGATAGCATGTGGAATAGCAACCCAGAATTGATAAAAATACAAAAAAAAATAGGGGGAAAAAGACTGTAACAACTAAATGAATTTTATTAAGTGTACCCAGAGTAATGTGGCTGGGGTTGCAAGGAAGAACTGGAAAAACAATCTCAGAATAAGCTTTAAAAATAAAATAATAATAATATGATGACAGTATAGTTAATGTCAATTAATCTGATTGCATTACTATTTTGCCAGCAAATAATGATTGTTCAACGTCAGATGTCAGTAATTACAGAAGAACTAGAGCCATTCCGCTTTGCTCTAAAGCAGTATGTAGATATGGCTTCTTCTCAGGATGGATGTCTGCAGTGAGTATGATGTTATTCTCAAGGGATGAAAGAATGCAGGTCATTATACTATAGGGAGATTGCACCTTGGGAGACACTGGAAATCACTAATAAAGAACATTTATAAAACATCTTAGGCTGACTGATTCAGCAAATGCAGTATCTCCATTATATTGTTCTCTTGGAATTATAAATGTCATAGTGGTCCATAGTAAATGTCAGGCCATAGTAACCTAGGACAGCAGCCATTAAGAAGATAGAAGAGGCAATCTTTATTTTCCTGGAAATAAATCTGGCTGAATAGAGTGGCCTTATCCTTCAGCTACAAGGTTTAAATGCACCCTAAACATGCATTTTATGAAGTAAATCTCACTGAATAGAACTTACTTTTGAGTAAATACAGTAGAGATTAGATTTTGAATATACAAATGATAATCAAGAACAAGTGAGTGTTTTCCTATGCCAAGTACCTCGCTGGTGTCACTTGATAATTTCTTTCAGAGTACCCATATTACAGTATAAATCATTCAAAATGTACAACTTCCGTTATTAATTACAAAATCTTTGTTTGTTAAAAAGTAGAAATTTTCCATTACAGCATGTTGTATAACTTGTGGTCTACTTTCTCACTTTAAGAAAGTTAACAAACTATGACAGACCAGTCAATTTATTTGGATGCCTAGATTAGATTTTTCTCAAAGATTGAATTCCAATTTCTGTTTGCATGCTACAGATTATTGCTGACAAAACGAACTAGGTGACAAGTCTAGTTCGGAGCTATTTAAACAATCAGTGTAAAAAAAATACTTTGCATCACATTTAGCTATTCATATAAATGTCAAAGTAGCATCTACTGAAATTCATGAAGGTACAGTGAACAAAAGAATGTAAGTGAAATAGGATTACAACACTTTTACTAAAAATTATTATTCAAGTGAGAAAATAATTAACATCAGTAATCTGATGAAGGTACAGAAAATTAAGAGACATTTCCATTTAATCTTATGTATTATTTCCCATGTATATGATGCCATCTACTGGCAATTCTCAAATTTGACATTTTGTTGTAATTAAGTAGCTGAATATAAAGCATCACCGCATGACTGTTTCCATTTCATTCATCTGAGGGTCAAATACCCAAGGAAATAGGCTTTCCTACAAATCTTACCAATTGACAGTGCTTTTTTTGTTTAAAAAAAAAAAAAGGTGCCGGAACTCACACATGTCATACAACCCGCCTTGCCTACCCTACAAGGTTCCATCCGAAAAAGGTGCCGGAACTCTGTTCTGGGCATTCTATGACAAAAAAAGCCCTGCCAATGAATAAGGAATTGTGTGTTCCAAGAGATACTCCTTGTGTAGTGTTTAGATATCAGATTATGTACTCCCATCCGTCAGATTTGGGGAAGTTAAGTTCAATGCTTCTTCATTTTTTCAAAAACTAACAGTATTTCACTTTTTTGAAGTTTCAGTAAAAATAATTATCCATATGTTCACATATTTCCTTACTGAAAAGTTTAACAGCAAATGTCAAGTTTTTATTACGTTACACACAATTCACATGACTGCTATGCGATGGCCAAGAAATTACTATTTTTTGCTAAAACAAACTCTGCTCAGTTTATGTTCAACATCCCTCTGAATGCTGTATCATTTATTGCAAATGTATTTTGGCTTTCAATCAGTTTTATGAGGTTGTACTACTAGGAATGATTTATTTAAAATATCAACCTCATGGTAATAAAAAAGTGAGCTTTAATTTAGTTTAATAATACAGAAAGAAATTAGGCATTGTCACTAGGCCTGTACCAATCCAAAGATGAAAAGCAGATATAAATGTTTTTAAATAAATAAAATGTCAATATGGGCTGTTTTCTATCCAAATAAATTTTGTGCTTATATTTTAGTGTTTCCATCCAGAAACTTTCAGGCAAATCCTGTTTCATTGTTTATGAATTTTGGGAAAATAACGCCTGGAACAGGTAAGTAGGCTTCTAAAACACTATTATTCATCAGCATCATCATGCTTAGGCAACATAAGCAGTATACTGTGTTTCAGTCTTCTGCATTAATTGGTTTAATCAGATAGGAGCCAAGTTTCTTACTTTTATGCCTTTCTGAAAAATACCAACTTCCAATTCCAGCAGTACTGAATCTTAAAATATAAAAAGGTTTTCGTGGCCAGCAGGAAGCAATGTAAAAGAATGAGATAAAAGCATTCAATTGATTCTAATAGACTTAGAGATGAAAATACTGATTCATCAAAACTTAGAAAACATTTTAATATGGCAATATTTTTTACATGTAAAAGCTCTTTTCTGGCATAAAAGCCCCAGAGCAAATACCTCAGAAGCCCATAATGGCCCTATTTTGTTTTTAGATCAGAAGCTCTGTGATAAAACAAATCACAACCGCACTCTGCCCCATTGAGGCACCTTAATCACAGATCATCTCTTTGCATGAGTTCCATTTGGTTATGAGCCTGTGCACATATGAAGCATTCATTTGTGAGCTGGAACAGCTAGGTTTGGGGTGGGCTATTTTTATTATTCATGATTAATTTAATGGTGCATTTTAATTCTATAAAATGTAAACCAAAGAGTTTTAAGTATGACTTTGGGTAAAATAAATATTACTTATTTCTCCAGCCATCTTCAGATGAATTACAGCAAGTCATTCCAAAGAAGTAATGTAGATTGCCTGGAGACTCCAGAACACATTACAACTATGCTTGTTCCTGGTAATAGTATTTTTTCTCTTTACTTGAAGAGTTTGTTATTTCCTTATGTTCTTCTTCCCAATCATTATTTACTTCTACTTTAAGAAACAGTGGCAAATAAATATCTATTCAGAAAATTTTATTAGAGTATAAATTTCATTGGATACATGGGACTTGCTTCTAAGTATGCACAGAATGGCATTATAGATTAACAGAGGTGTATTTGTCAATTCCAAAGTTAGTCATAACTTTGTTTTGCTTTGCTTTGTTTTTGCAAACAGTAAACAAGACATAGTAGCTTAGCTTAGCTGCACACATAATGCCAAGTTGTAAATGTTGCTAAAATGGCTGACTTTACCTACAGGTAGTCCTCCCCTAACAACCATTCATTCAGCAGTAATTCAAAGTTATGACAGCAATGAAAAAATTGACTGATTAGTCCCTGTAGTTGCAGCCATTCCAGCTTCCCTGCAGTCATGTGATCAAAATCCGGGCCCGCCCACACTTAAAACTACAGGGACTCTCCCCCACCTATAGTCCCATTTCTGCCCTTTTGGGTGCCCTGCAGTACATATCCCTGCTGCCCCCCGCTGCCGCCATCTCTCACAGCTGACGTTTACTATTTTCTTCTTGCTGCAGGACCAGGATTCAGGTACTGGGTGGAGGGTGCAGCGTTGGGATGTGCACAGTGAGCACAGCAAAATAGCAAAGCCTTGTCTGCCCTAAGAGTTTGCCAGGCCTGGCTGCAGATATGGTACCTTTCTAATGGGATTAACCTAATTCCCACGTTAAAAATCATTTAAATGTCAAGCACACATTTTTATCTATACAGCATTTTACTAAATTATTGAGTTAACTGACAAATTTTAATTAGCTCCCTCCCCATACCAAAGAGAGGGGGTAAAACCAACACATAATATACATAAACCTATATGCAGATTACAAGTAATTTACTCTAAAGCTAAGGTGTTACTATAATCAGATAAAAAAGACTGCCAAAGCCCAACAATTTTTAAGTGCCTTAGTCAAATTGGTATATTAATATCATGCCATTTAAAATATTTTAATCTTGTAGGAATTTTGCAGGGTTCACGTTTATTTGTTTATCTATTAAATGTATATGCTGCCCGTATCACTCTACAGAGTTACTCTGTAAATATTATTTCTTACATTATGTATGTCAGTATATTTTAATCTGTTCTGGTATAACTAAATAATGTGAAACATCTATTTACATGCTGCAAAATTACTTTAAAACTAAGCAGTACTTTGAAATGTTGTTGGGAATTACTGACATGAGATTATTTAAATCATATTTCCTTTTCAGCTTCTTGGTGCAACCTGAACAACTAGAAGTACATACTTCTTAAAAATAGGCTCTGCGTTAAACAGCACCCAGAGAACAATCATAGTCTCTGAAGTTAGCAAATCATGACTATTCTTTCATTGATAGATTCTTCCATTTTAAAAAAAAATCCAGTTGTAAAATTTGTTGTGATTAATATTTTATGAAACGCTACAAATTCATTTTAGTTTCATGATTCTCTTTTTTAAATGTAATATTGCATTGCTTGTGTTTACTATGTGCATTTCTCTTTTGTAAAGTTCTCTGAAAATTCATTTCTACCATCATGTTTGACATTGTTATCTCTGTCTACTAAATTGGTGTACAGTGATGTTAGTCAGATGTGTACAGAAAAAGATCTGTGAAGAAACTGAAGTGCTTTTTCTCTTTTATATTTATAGTCATAGAAAAAGTTTCATTATGTTTATAAATAAATCTATAAGGAATAGGTATGTTGACATCAGACAGAATATGAATATATATCCTTGTATGGAGATGATATGTTTTTGGCTGAAAACTTGGATAATTTACAATGAATGTGTAAATGATGCAACAAGGATCATGGATCTGAAAAGTAATCTATTAAAAACCAAGATAACTATGTTTGATAAAGAAAATGGAACCGAAGTCAGAACCTCAAAAGGAGGCAGGAAGACACTACTGTATATGGAAGTGCATGAAACAAAAACAGTTTGCAAACACAAGTATGGAAAGATATTGATGTCAATTAGAATTGGCTGTTTCTTTTTCTTATCACATACCTTTAATTTCTTTGTCTTATTGTGTTTTAATTTTCTTAGGCTTATTGCGTTTACTCCTTTTTCACATTATGTAGAACATTTTATTTTGAAAGGGAATAGTCTAGTAGATATATATGTATGTAAACTTTCAAATGCTGCTATATATGAAAACAAATATCTTTAGTTGCTCTACACACAGCAACTAAAAATAAACTTCACAAAAGCAAATACTATTCCACATTTACAGTCATAACCAGTAACACAAGGTTCAATGTTCACCAGAAAAAACATTACAAATGTAACATATTTGCAAAATTTGGAAAAGTTTGAAAGCAACAAAATACAATGGTATTTTATTAGGTTAGGAGGACCATTGTACTAGAGCAGTGATGGCGAACCTTTTAGAGACTGAGTGCCCAAACCGCAACCCCAAACCCACTTATTTATCGCAAAGTGCCAGGGCCGCATCAGCATTGTGGTGCCTTCATGGGGGGCAGGGGGGTGCCTCTGAGTGCCGCCTCTGGCACACAAAAACCAGGGGCACAAAAATGGGCCATCGTGCTGCAAGGCACAAAAATGGCCATGCCGTGGGGTGCAGATACAAGGCGCTGCACCATGCAAGAACGGGGCAGGGCTAGTGAGTATCACGCAGGCACTAGCCCCACCCCATTTGCAGCACGTGCATGCTCACGGCCCTGTGCATGCATGCATGTAAAATGCTTCCCCCTCCCTTTTCTTCCAGTCCACCAATCAACAATGATTGATGACTCTGCTCTACCACCTCTACTCGAGCTTGCTAGTCGGCCACTTCGCCTCCTTTGTGCTGGGCGGGGCTCCTGCTCCAGGCGGCAGTGGTGGCCTGATGCACCTGCTGCTGGCGGTTCGTGTGCCAACAGAGAGGGCTCTGAGTGCCACCTCTGGCATGCGTGCCATAGTTCGCCACCACTGTACTAGAGGACTAGATGTATCTTTGAATTCAAAATCTTGTTAACTATTTAGATGCTATTATGTGGAAAAGAAAGTGAAACCCAGTTTGATCTAGTAGTTCCAAAGCTTAAGCATCAGCTACAAACGAGAAGACTGTGAGTTCTAGTGCAGCCTTAAACATGAAAGCTGGCTGGGTGACTTTGATCCAGTTACTCTCTGTTAACCCATGATATCAGGCTCCGGTGGCAAATCAATTGATCAATTCCTATCACAACCAAATAGATCAACACTTGGTTGATTTGAAAAAAAGTGGACTCTGCAGTTGATGGAAAATGCTAGAAAAAATGTGGAAAAAAGAGTACAGCAAAATCTGGGAAAGGGAGGGGGAAATGTCAGATGTAGAGATCAAATTATTAACAGCTAACACAATTAACTTAAAATATTTTAAAAATACTTTAAAAAATGAGGTAACACCTAAACCCTAATAACTGAATTGAAAGTTTTAAACATTTAACAAAAAGATAAATACAAAGATTTGTAATATAAAAACAGTCCCATACAAGCATTGCCTCTATGCAACTAATTAAGTTGGGACATAAGGATATGGGACAATCCATATCTTTGATGGCTATGTTTTGCTACTTACCACTTAAATGTTTGGCTTGAAGATCCTCAAAGATTCCATGTGCTTATACCATTTTTTGTACATAATGATGTTAAAAGATTCTACAATCTAGCAAGTAGATTGGTGCATGGAAACAGAAGTTATGTGTGTGTCCATGTTCCCCAACTCAGTTTAGTTTATGATATGAGTTGGCATCTAGTCAAAATGCAAACAGCCACTAGATATTATATAGTTTATAGCAGTTAAACATATGGCATGTTCCCAACACTTGGCATTTTGCTATAATAAATGGTAAGGAATGAGCCTCACACTTATTAGGGTGTAAAATCTACTGCAACTTATTTGATAATAAGTGATAATGATCCTACTTCACTTCAGCAATTGTTTCCTTTATCTATCACTACAAAAATTTTAATATATTAGTTCAGAATCAGACAACAGTTGAAGTTGATTCACATACATTTTTGCTTGAATATAGCTTTACTGATGATTACACCAACTGTAAAAGATACATCTGAATTCAGTCTATTGATATTACAGATCACTTTTCCTTAATTTTTTTTAAATGGTGAAAAGAGACGCATTCTTTATCTTCAGAAAGATCTATCATTGCTTGTAGCAGGTAATAAACAATAATTTTTCTACAAAACAAAAGTCCCAAATATTTAGTTAATAGAAAACATTACATATTTAAAGAAGCTTTGAAACATGTTAGCATTTATTAAATTGAGTCATAACTCAAGATAAAACTGAAAACTATTTAAAAACTCAATCTCTAACATAAATAAATAAAAGAGCTGTGAAAAATATACAAACAATGAATTAATGCATACTAACAATATGTATGGATAAAAGAATGTGTAACAGGACATCCAGAAGAATAGTATTCCATACTGGCAACTCTCAGAGCTTTACCCTCCACAAATTGCTTTTTATACCCAATGTGGTTAAAGTTATTATAGACATTCTCTTCTCAATTCTCATAAATAAAGCTATACTAATATACTGATGCAGGCTTTCACAGCCAGTGTCAATCTAATAGTGATGAGTTTCAAAGTAATAGGCAATGGTCTAATTAGGAGTTCTAAGAAATGTGCTACAAAGCAGATCAGTGTCACCTCAGAAAATGCCAGGCACAATTGCTGATGAAATGTCAGGATACTTGGTAATTAGATGACAGCCTATTAGCCCAGAAGCCATTATCACTGGAAAGATATATAGGTAATCCACAACCTATGACCATTTGAAGTTACAATGGCGCTAAATGAATGGCTATGACCAGTTCTCAGAGATCTGACCACCCCAGCATCCTTGTTGTCATGTGATCAGGAGCTGGACACTTGGCAATTGGTTCGCATTTATAATCGGCTGCAGCACCCGACAATCACATGATCACCATTTGCCACCTCCCGTGCTAGCATCCCCAAAAAGTCAATGGGGAAGGTGGTAGGGAAAGTCACAAGTCACTGAGGTAAGTCTCTCTCACCCAAACACCCTCCTCCAGCCCCGTGCCCTCGATGCTATGCTGGCCACTTATGCACCCCTATGCATCCTCCCTCACCTGTACCCCTGTGCACCCTCTCTGACCCTCACACACTCTCAAGCATCTTTCTGATCCTTGCTGCACTCCTGCATTCTCTCTCTTAGAACTGCATCGCTTAGCGATGGGAATTCCAGGCCCTATTGCTGTCATTAGTCAAGATTACCTATATGCAGACAGGCATTTTTAATCACAGGTACAGTATTTATAACCACTGTATGAATAATCACAGAGTTATGGAATTATAAGCAATAACTCAATCTAAACAGTTCATATACTACTCCATGTAATAGAAAAAATATGAAAAAACAGTTCTTGTAATTCATGTAATTACATAACAGGAAAAAAATTGTGTTATGCTACTGAAACTTTTCCTCGTCTGTCTCCTCACATACACACATACACAAGCATTACATATAATTCTACTTTCACTATAAAACCCATATCCAATATTTCAGTGAGAAAGAGTTTGGAAGGACCTAATGTCTCTAGTTTCATTTTGGCATATACTTTTGTGCAACATCACAATAAATTTACAAAAGGTTGGAACATCATGAACACCTGTTACTTTATGTATTAATTCTAAAGCCTTCAGACATCCATGGTCTCATTCCATTCATTTCAATCATTTACAGTTTATTTTTATATCTAAAAGGTCATTGTTTTTAATACCGTGAAATATACAAAATGCACTTTGCTTAGATTTTGTATGCAGGTCAAGGAGTAGATTTGCATAATACATTTAGATTTCTTCCCATTTATTCATAAAATACTGTAATATAGTAAGTAGCAGCATTTACCATTTGTGATAGAAATGTGGTTCTTTCCTAAACTACCAGAGATAACTAATCTGTTAAGAAATTATCTGCATCATCATTTTGTCATCATCGTGATTAAGGATGGATACCTATGCTGCAACTTTACTATATAATAAATCTGTACTACCAATTTAAATGTCAGCTAAATTATTTCTACAAATTCAGTTTTAAATTCAAATACTTACCGGCTTTTCCAGTACAATAGGATGATCAGGAAGAAATTCTGGCTTCTTTTGGGCAAGTGAAACCCCTGAAAGTTTCAGAAGGAAATCTCTGCTATATGTTATTCTTTCTGCCAACACAAAAATTTATTACTGAAAAGTGATAGGAATATATAAATCAGGCATCTTCTAATGAAAGTCAGTAGCTAGACTTTTTTGCAAACAATTTTACAGAAGAATTTTAGTTAGCAAATCTGTATTCCTATTACTAAACACAACAAAATATGGTTCTGAATGGTTATATAACTATCATTTGAATTATGATTATGCATTCTATACTAAATGTTATAGTAATTTATATACTATTTTAAAGTTGTGTCTAGTGTTATAACGAGATTGGATTGACGTGCAATCATTATATGGCTTATCCCTTGAACTTCGGAAATATAAATACTACTTTTGCTGTAAGCATGGTATGCTAAATGAGTTCTTGAATACAAATTCATTTAAGCTCTCAGATAAATTTCAAATATTTAATTGAAATTGAAAATTGCTAGAATATAACCTGAAATATATTTTGTGTATTTCTTCATAATTTTTTAAATTTTAATACTTACCTTTTGTGACTTCATTTTTATGCTGCACTGACAGACTAGGAATCATATTGTCATTTAAAACCAGCATTCCATTAGATTTACATATCTAAAATAAAGGGTACATATGTATTATGTTCTAATATGCATATATGTCTAGTATACATGTTTTGTATATTATTTTACAAGGTTCTAGGAACTTTTAATAATTCATGCAAGAGATATTATACACAGAATCATAAATACAATGTATACCACATGTAATTTTAATAGTGAAGAACACCACCAAAACACTTCAATTATAGACCTCTCTCCATTTTAAACTTGTTTCACTGTAACACCAAAATATTAACTACAATACAGATCCATGAGGTTGGAAATTATGTACTGTATACAGCATGGAAGGAAAACAGAAACAAGATTCATTCAAATTTATCACATTTTCACAGGCATACATGAGAAAGTACTATAAAACTGTCAGATCAGCCACCACAAAATTGTCGAAGTTTCTTGTACGCTGTTTTTATATACCATTTATATTTTGAAAGGACAAGATACAGGTAGATCCTGACTTATGACCACAATTGAGCCAAAATTTCCATTGCTAACCAAGATAGTTATTGTGAGTTTTCCCCCATTTAACCTTTTTGCTAATTTCAGGTAAAATAGATAAAAATACAGTAATAAAATAAATATGTGGTAAATTCAGAGAATCAACATTCAGTTAAGTATATGACCTTTGCAGGATACCCCAATCTGTTTGATATGGGTTCTTAGCTTGAATGCCTTCACTACAGTATAAACTTAGCAGTTCTGCTCACAATATATTCATTAGAGCCCAGGAGGGAATAGGATAATATGTAATTCAGATCCCAGTGAGCTGTTCTTTCAAGTAGGGATTTAAACATCTAAGCCTAAGAGTTCTATACTGTAGTTCAGAGGTGTCAAACTGCCGGCCCGCAGGCTGGTTTCATCATACCAAAGCCGCGCCCACCCCATTGCCGGAAATGCAAAAAAAGTCGTGATACGTGGCAACATGTCACGTGATGTGGCGAGTTTGACACCCATGCTGTAGTTGAAAGTAAAAAAAAAAAAAAGAGCATGAGCAATATCTCCAATGGCTGGGACACTACATATACACATCCTCTCATACGGCATGCAATCTGTCCAACATATAACCTTTATGTGCCTAACCAATCTATCTTCTTTCATTCTTCCCTGCCTCTTACCAATTTAAATCGTACATCATTTAGCTCTAGCTCACAAAAACTTCCTTTTTAATAGAATTTGTTAGTTGGGAAAGGTTATACCAGGTTTTTTATTTGAGGTAGGTACAGAAGTATAGAATATTGGCTGGTGGGGATCAGAAGATGATTTTTTTCTGCAGAGGCCCCTGCTCTATGGAATATCCTCCCTTTGGATGTCAGAATGGCCCATTAGTCTTTCATAAGGCCCAAAAACCTGGCTATATTCCCATGCTAGGGTGCTGAATGTGTTAAGAGCCCCATTTTCTGGCTTTATTGCTAACTGGCCTAGAATTCTGCTCCTACGCATATTTAATCCAGATGTTTTTACTGTTTTAATTTTTTTAGTATTTTTAATTGTAATTGTTTTTTCAGTTGTAAGCCACCCAATCATTGGCTGAGATGGATGGTTATAGAAGTTTAATGATTGATTGACTGACTGACACTGACACTGACTGAATCAAAGTTCTCATCCTAGTTAGTAGTTTAAAATTCAAGATAATCACAATTATTATTTTAAAGTCTGGTATTTCAAAACAAGTTCAAGTAATGGGTTATGTGACACTGGCTTGTTAAACTAGCAAAACATTGTTACAAATCCCAGGATCTAGCTTATCTATAGTGTCAGGTTCAAGTAAAAGAGGGGTTTTTGTTGTTGCTGTTTTACTGAAATAATACTTACTGAACTAATTTCATTATGTAAAAAGACAGACGCACTGCACGGAAAGTCAGCCTGAAAGCTTCCAGAATCTGTTGATACTGTGGCTAAGGTTGCTGTAAAAGAAAGTAATAGGTTTAGTTCAGGGGTAGGCAACCTTGGTTCTTTTATGACTCATGGACTTCAACTCCCAGAATTCCTGAGCCAGCTATGCTGGCTCAGGAATTCTGGGAGTTGAAGTTCATGAGTCATAAAAGAGCCAAGGTTGCCTACCCCTGGCTTAGTTCTTCATTAATATGCTGAGTGCCCTTCTAATGTTGTGTTTTCTACACAAATACTTGAGGTGATCGAGGCACTTACCACGAGAAGAGAGGCACAGAGATCTTGCTGGCTGGAGGTGCTTACCAATCAATCTCTTAGTTTCCATTTGTTAAAATACTTGGAGATGCCATGCTGGAAAATAAACAGCCACAAAATATAAGATGGGAAACTGGGTGATTACTCAAAGTGTACTAATGACCAACGCCATGCCCAGTACTTATAGTGGGATGGCTGGGATGGCCTAGGACGAGGCTGCACGATGAAGGAAATGGGAACTGGACTTTGATGTCTGCGAAACTCTTCAAGGCGCCTCCACTCAACTCCCCCCCCCCCCAAGGAGTTTGATAGGTGTTAAAAAAGAGCGAGAAAGCGAGCTCTTTGGGAACCATAAGAAACCGCGGACACTCTGAGGGGCTTCATAAAAGTGCGCTAAGTTCGTAAGGAAGAAAGGCCGTACTTCATAACCACTTAAAGCAAAAAAAATATTTCCGCAGCTTCGGACAGCTCAGGCAGTAGAAACAGCCGCAGCCACAGACTAGGGGCCATACGCTCCACACGCGCTCCATGCGCATGCGCATGCGTGGTCCCCTTTCTGGCGCGGCCTCGGCCCTTCTGTCTTCTGGGGCCATGGCGTTCCACCTTTTTGTTGGTCGACGACCTCTTCTTCTTCCTCTCTCTTTTTTTTTTTTAGCGAGGCCTGCTTACCAGCACTCTGCGCTCTCACCCCGGCAGCAAGAGCAGCGCCGGCCGTTCCCGCGAGCGCTAGAGCGGTCTCGAGAGGGAACCGGACGGGACAGCCCGGCTAAGTGACGGCCCGAACGTTTATGGCGGAGAAACAGCTAACCGCCTCCTCGGTAGCCGCCAGTATTCTAAAGGCGCGCGCAGAGAGCCTGGCGGCAGCCGTTACTATCCATCCTCGTCGTTGTCGTCATCATTATCACCATCGACCACAGACTCTCGCTCTCTCTTTACAAAGTTGACTTTGGAGCTGGCTCTCTGACTTTGGATTCTGGGCGTTTGTTTGCAGGCGCTCACCTGTTGAGAACGGGAAGGCTCCTCCCGTTTCTTGCCTTCGCTCGCTTATATTCATTTATTTCCAAGAATCATCTTAGGTTTCTTACTGCAGTTCGAAAGCGCAGAAAGGGGAATGTAAAAATATTTAAAAGGCTAACAGTTGAATAATTTGGCATCCGTTTAGTAAAATCTAAAAGCGTAGAGATCTCTGGTTAAATTGCACGTTCTTTAAACAAGTTAATTCTGCCGCCTCAAAGTTTAGGTTTCATTATTAACTTTTAAAAAAGATAATATTAGCCCTTTTAATATGGCAGTGGACACGGCCTCTTTTCTAACTTCAGGAAAACATTATTTTTACTTTTTAGCCAAGACCTTTTCTTTTAGTAAATGAAGACTTCTCTTTTTAGCACTAAACAACAGCATATGCTAAAAAAAATCCTTGAATACAGTGGCAAGTTTTAAGAAAGATACAAATCCAGCTGGGAAAGAGTAATGTAACTTATAAACTTGCCACTTGTGAAATGTTATCCAGAATCAATGTTTTCTATTGTTCAAGTTTCATAGTAGTCATGTCTTTTATTGTTTGATCATTTGCTTTCTGATGCACTAAATATATGTACCATTTGTTTCTGTGCTTTATAAAAAGATCTGATCTCTCCCCTTAATAAATGCTTTTTGCCTTAATTGAATTACTTGGTAATTCATATTTTTGGATGGGCAAATAAGCAAAGGTAAAATTCTCTCTCTCAGACCAGGGACAAAGTTATTATCAGCTTCATACTAAACTCTCAAGTGCCTGAGTTTGGAGGCAATAATTCAACTACCGGTATGTGATATATACTTAAACATTTTTCTGCAAATTTGAATACATTCTTGGTCACAATCTGTGGTTATATTTTTATTCCACCTTTTTATATATAGTTCAAGACAGCAAACATGCCTTATACTCCTGTTTCCTTCTTTTTCCATGTTGGATGAACTACTTTTCTTTGACTTGTTCCTTGCCCACCATCAACACCAGATACTACAATTAATAATAATAATAATTTTAAAATAATCAAAAGTTTACTAACACAAAACAAACATACAACATACAAGTACTGAATGCAATCTGGGATGGTCTGCAGCATTCTTTTATAATCATGTACAAATAACTAATTTGCATGCCTAATTCTAGAATTCTCAAGTTTAACGTTCCTAATTAAAAATACTAATTTTATTCATTTATTATATTTTTATGCTACCCATCTCCCCTATACGGCTGATTTTATGGGCTTTTTTTTATTCTCTAATTGGAACATCTTATCTCTATTGCTAGAAGCAAAATGGTTTCTTTTAATTTATTTCTTATCTGCCTGCATGACCCTTTCACTTTTTTGCAATAGGAAAGCACTAACTTCTAAAATGGAGTTGGTTTAATTTTCTAATAATTACTTTCCAACACATCACAACAATCCTGTGAGGTGTCAGACTGAAAAGGTGGCCCCAAAGTCACCCAACCAACTTTCATGCCTAAGGGAAGGCTAGAACTCACAGCCTCCTGGTTTTCCACAATGCTAAATTTCACTTTTAACAATAATAATAATAGTATTTTATTAAATTTGTGTGCTGCCTGATTTCCAATGACTGGGGAGCTAACTACAATCAAAGAACTTAGTACTATAACATTTTGAAACTATAGTTAGTACAGATTATAGCAGTCAAATCACTGTGGCTCTATGCTATTATTGCATTATAGCAAATATATAGGTAGTCCTCAACTTAAGATAGTAATGGAGTCTCCTCATGTGACCAACTTGATTTTACAATCTTTTTTGCTGCAGTCATCAAGGGAATCCAGTTATTAAGCAAATTCATTATTTGCTACTGAGCAGAGGTAAATGCTGGTTTTCGGCAAAAACAAATCAATTACATAACCATGGGATGCTGCAAATTGCCATAAATGTGGGCCAGTTGCCAATTGCATGAAATGTGATTAGTGTACAGTATGTGACTATAGGCTAGCCATTGGAACTTTAGAAACATGTTGTAAGTACCTTTCAGGGGTCTGTCATAACTTCAAATGATCGTTAAGTGACTTGTAAGATAAGGACTACCTGTACTACAGTCCCTGTACTAGTTATGTTAAGCTTCTGGATATAATTCAAAGTAATGGTTTTAACCTATATATTTAACCTCCATGTTGTGGCACCAGATTACCTTACTGGTTACCTTCTCCAATCCATCTAGGTCATGGAGTCAAACTGCCGGCCCGCGGGCTGGTTTCATCATACCAAAGCCGCACCCACCCAATTGCTGGCAATGCAAAAAGAGTCGCAATACGTTGCGACACGTCACGTGACGAGTTTGACATCTGTGATCTAGGTGTTCAAGATATGAGTGGATATTATGAATAATAGACTGAGTTGTAGGCCCAAATGCAGGCCTTCTCAGGAGTAGACCTGACATTTTGGAGTGTTGCATCACTAGATGTTTGCTTTGCTATGCTGTTACAGCTTTCCAGGAAGGATTGAACACCATTTTGCCTTGGTGGGCATTTAATTTATGATTAGAGATAGCTGAACTGCTTAAGTGAGGACCCTGGGTAGCCATTTGATTATTTATTTAGACGCTTTAGTTCAGGGGTGTCTAACTGCGGGCCAGATGTGTTATGCCAAAACTGCACCCACCATCTCCGGCAATGGAAAAGTCACGATACGTCGCGACACGTCACGTGACATTGCAAGTTTGACACCCCTGCTTTAGATGGTTTATTTAGATGTTTTAGATTGCTGCCTGATTATAGATAGGGCAGGGTATCCAAAGGTTTTATGGTTTATGTATTAAGATGCAATTCGTCTGTTATTGTACTATACTTATACGTAGGAAGAAATGAGTGGTATTCAAATAAGGGTATAAGCATTTAATTACTCTAATAACTTGCTTTCTGTATTTAGAAAGTATAGAATGATTCAATATAAAAAATGAACACATCATTTAAAAAAATATTACATATCAATTTGTTCAGTTGCACAAATAAACAGTACTGAAATTTTATAGTATCATGCATCTTAAAATGATGACTTTTGAACTTCCCCCATAAATAAAATTACTTCTCCTCCATAATAGTGTTACCTGGAATTTTAGGTTTCATTATTAGCTTTTTAATAAAGGTGATAGTAGCTTTAGCATGACATCCATGTCTCATTTAGAAGTTCAATATACTGTACCCATTTTCCTTTTAGCCAAAGCCATTTCTTTATTTTTTTTTTAAGTGCAAGAACTTAACCTCTTTGGAAACCAAACAATAGAAAGCATATTAGTCTTTGAATGCACTCGCAAGTATTATGAAAGAAACAAATTCTTTTGGAAAAAGCAGTCATGTAGAGTAATCCATAAATTTGCACCTTGTGTAATGTTATCTTGAACCAATGTTTTGAACTGTTCAGTTCTTACCTCTAATTAATGTATTTTATTGTTCAATTAGTTGCTTTGTGATTCATTGCATATATCAAATGTATCATATAAATGTATATAAACACTTGACCCTTAAACCCTTTTTGCTTATCATTCATGGGGAGGAGGGGTGAAAGTATATGTGATTCAAAAGCTACTTTGAAAAGTTAATGACTTTTCCCCAAATTCTTGGATCAAGTTGTTATCAGGTCCACTTCAATTTGTGTGTCTGAGTTTTAAAGGCAACTGTAGCCAGGAGGTACTATAAATTTATCCTCGGATAAAGTGTCTCATCCTTTTTCTTAATCCCCCCTCCCCCAAATGTATAAGGACATTTTAAAGCTTTTCCTGAAAATGTCCAACTGCCACTTTTGTAGGTGGTCAAGGCAACCTCTATAAATTTATAGCAGGGATCTTCAAACTTGGCCCTTTTATGACTTGTGGACATCAACTCCCAGAATTCCTCAGCCAGCGTGCCTGGCTGAGGAATTCTGGGAGTTGAAGTCCACAAGTCATAAAAGGGCCAAGTTTGAAGACCCCTGATTTATAGCGATTGTCTAGCAATGTTCTTCTCTTTTGCTGCTGACGCCTGCGCAGACACTCCAAAACTAGACGGAGATGGCGCTGTGCTGTATCTCAATAGATAGTTAAGATCTTGCCTGCAAAACAAGGTGTTGCTGGCTACCTCGGTGGGAGAAATTTATCTGCAGTCACTTTTAACGGGGGTTTGGGGGAGATAGAAAAATAATAATCCTGCGAATCTTGTTTGATTTCTTGGTATTCAAGATGTATTCCCAGAAACACACGAGATTTGTGTTTTGCTTGGAGGCGGTCAGAACCCAGCAAGTAGAACTCGGGATCAGCTTCGCATTTTGTTCTAAAGCGAGCGGTTTGGGCAGAGGCGTCGTTTCCCCGAATTCTCACACGCGCAGATATGCGTGCATTAACACACCGACGTTCCCCACCACCATCACCACACACTTATGCACCAATACATCCCACATAGACATCTTTGTCTATATATGTGGATCTGGGAAGCTTCTGTCCTCTTCGTCGATCGGCTTGGTAGACCCAGCTGCCTTCTCTCACCGCTTCTGCTCCCTCTCCGGGCAGCTTCCATTGCAGTCGGGAATGCTAGCAGAAGGGGAAGCCGAGGGTCTTTTTCCTACCTCAGGACCAAGTTGGGTGGGATAGAAAAGAAACTCACAAGTGGAATTGAGGATTGTGTAACGGTCACTTTGGTAGCTGCTGGGTACGGGAAGAGAGATTTCCCAGACCGAGACGGCGCAGAGGGCTTTCCCCGATTGCTCTTTTGCTAGTGGGAGGAAAGGCCCTCGCCGGGAAATAAATTTGCATGCGATCCGAGTTTATGATAAAGGAGAGGGATGGGTGGGAGAGAGGGATGGCCATGCTACTCGCTGACTCAAAAATAGGGAAGCCAAGAAGAGGTAGACCGCCAGGTTCGGAGAATTCCTGAGCTAAAGAGAGCAATGGCGGCGTTTCCTGTACTGTTCTGAAGAGCAAGGTAAGTCGAACCAAAAATTATCACTAGAATTTCCGCGCATCCAAATAGAGGAGACTAGATGAGTCACATTTCAGAAATTTGAGCAGAAATCCTCCAAATATCTATTTTAAAAAAAAACCACCTCTGTGAATTACAGTATTTTAAAAAAATCGGAATGAAAATGAAATAAATACATACATAATACATATATACTTAAATGTTCTTTGACTTGAGTACTTGCTAGAAAATGCTTTGAGCAATATGAATTTCAGACACTAATGAGAGCAAAAACATTCATTTTCAATAATCATCTTTATTAGTATATTTTAAAAGGTACATGATAAACCTGAGCTACTGCTTTTGTACATTTAACATTATACAAAGACAACTTCCATGTACATTTAGGATTTTTTTTGTGCTCCAAATCCTCAGCCAAGTATCACTTTGTCCTTTATCAGGGTTATTATATATATAATATAATCCTAGAATATCCACTTTAATCTACTTTCTTGATTCCCATTGTCTAAGGACTACTATAATCTAAAGCTCAGGATATTCCCTCAGATTTTTTTTTTAAAAACCCATATTCTGTAAAACCTCAAAGTTGGTCAGTGCAATAACTGGTCCCAATATTCTATTTGAACAAGTCATGAAAAAAATTGTTTTTATTCTATCATTTAGCACTTGATTAGTTTTTAATACTGTACCAACCAGCTACATATTGATGGAATGATGAGAATAATTTGTTTGCTCTATTTAATTTCCTATTAGCTGAGTTAAGCTATAAATATGTCCCTTTATAATTACTGGAGAGTTATTATCCCATTATGGAAAATAAATGACCAATCTAAACAACTAAGAGATAGCCCAACATCACTCTAAAATCATCTAAATGTATAAAACAAGTCATATCAAATACTTCCCTTATTTAGACCCTGTTAAGGAACTCTTACAAATAACCAGAGGGAAGTTCCAGAAATCCAACCATGGCTTTGGATGTTTAAAAAAAATACAAGAATAAAAAAAAAGAATATTCAAGTTGAATTTCAGTAGAGGGTAAATTAACTTTTTTCTTTAGGTAGCCTACTAAAATACTGTATTTCTCAAACTGGAAATCTGAAAGGATAGTATACCCCTAAGAAAAACTCCACTTTTTTGAAAATGATGCACATTCTTTAAGGTCACGCTGATCTTAGGTGAAAGTTAAACTAAGCATTTCAAGCAAAATATTTATTGCTTAACATCCTAAAGCAAGTTGCTTTGACAGTTTTAAAAGTGTACATACAAATGTGAAGCACTTGTAGAAACACCTATAAATATTTCTCGCTTTTACATATTCATCCCCAAATGGCACAAGCACATTTAATACTGAAAAAAAAATACTATAAATTGAAATTGAATTCTGCAGTTCTTTTAAGACAGATGTACAATTGTGTAAACAAAGCTTTAGTATTCAGAGTTTGGGAATCTAGCAGCAAAACAAACTATTTGCATATAATGTAGTGCAATGAACATTTGTTCTTAAAAGGATCCCCAGCCTTAAAACTTTAGTAACAAAACAGAAACATTTAATAAGAAAACTGTTTAAATTATTCGGCTCCTATAACCACCAGATTCTCTAGAAAGCTCCATTTTCCAATAAGATACTATTAGAAGTCTATGCAAAACTGTGTTCTGGATAACTGACTTTTACAGCTCCCCAATAGCAGGCTCGAACCAAGCACACTAAGCCAAAGAGGTAAGCAACAGCCCATGAAACATAAGTGGCATGAAATGTTCTAGCAAAATCCTGGGTACCAACCTTTAAAAAGAAACACATGTGGGAAAATATAGTTAATATACAGTACAATACTAAGTCTTGGAGTAGTTTTTTACTTAACTGACAAAGTATCAAAATGAGATTAAAGCAGCCTGACTTCTAACCATTTCTGATAACAATTATAAACAATTGACTTACATCCATTTGTTTATTGACCATTCAAAGTTACAATGGCACTGAAAAAAGAGGTCCTCGTACTTACAATCCTTGCAGCATCCCCACGATCATGTGATCAAAATTCAGGTGCTCGGTACCTGTGTGTGTGTGTATCCATACTTGAGAATAGCTAATATTTTTCATCAGAACCAAAAGCTAGGGAAATCAGGAACCGTATTCTTCTGTACAACACTTTTTTCTTGCAGAAATTAGCAAGGACAAATAGTGTTTCTACATGCAAAATACAGAATAAATCGTCTAAACTAACAAAAGGATTTTGTAAAAACATCTTTCCTCGTAAATTAAAATTTAATACCTATATTAAAAAATTTTCTCTGCTAAAAAGAAAAGCAAGGCCTTTCTGGATAACATGGAAAGTTGCTCTCACTGCATGAAATTATTGCATTTAATTTTTGATGGGTGATTGTTTTGTGCAAATTTGTCTTGCGGTGTTTGGGCTATATGGGGAACATAAGCCAGCCCAGTATGAAGGCAGCATCCTTTCCTATTTGGCAATTGAAGACACTGTCAGGCCCATTAAAGATCTAGTTGGACCACAGCCAATAAGACACAGGACAATTTCTATTTCATGTACAAGTAATCTTCAAAGTTATGATCATTATGGAACCATTGGCCAACCTGATTTTACAACTTTTTTGTGGCTGTTGTTAAACAAGTCACTGCAGTCATTAAGAAAAATGCCACAGTCCTAAAGGAAACCAGTGGTTCACTACAGCCCTGGTTTTGCCAAATAGCGAACAGTCATAAGTTGAGGACTACTTGTCATCTGGGCCATGAATGCTAATTTATTATCTGCAGGCAAAATCTTGTATTTTGACATTTTCTAGATTTTTTGGGGGGCAGAACTGATTTGCAAACATTTGATAAGACACTATTTGAAGAAGTACCATGTGTCTGATTCAATATTAAAAACCAACACTAATGCTACTTACAGTTAATCCAACACCAATGAAGATAAATATCATTCCAATTGTAATATATGCACAGCACCGTCTTCGTGGGAGCGCACATCCTACAGAAGAACTGAAAATACACAGTATTTCATAGCTAGAATTAAACATAGATTGATACAATGATTTTGAAGGTTCACTGAAGAACGTACAAGATAAAACTGCAGTTTAAACTCTTTGGGGTTCAAAGTCGTATCATATTCTGTGACTACTATGAAAAATATTTCATTTCACAATTCTAATTGTTTATTTAGTTACAGACATTCCAAAATATTTGTAGGAACAGTAAGCGATCATATGATTACCCAAAAGCTCTAAGGCTGATTTCAACAAAAAAGACCCATGTGCTCAACTTGTGATTAGATTTTTCCCTTTAAATCTTGGTGGAATGTCTTTAAACTGATTGACTTAGCCTGTTTTAAATGTTCTACTTTCAAACAGAAGAGAAAGCATTACTTGGTCACTGTTAATTGAGGCCTTTAATCTGTTCTCTAAGGGTTCCCACTGTTGAAAAAGAAAGAATAAATGCTATTTCTATCACAAGGTACTTTTAACTTTTTTAGAACTCCTATGTTTGACACTTTCAATTTTTATAGACAAATTTTGCTTTGTTACCATTAACATCTGGACAGGGTATATGATTCAAGCATTTTTACTGGGTGGTAAAACCTGGTTTGTATTATTTTTCTCAATAGCAAAAGCACTTAGACTTATATACAGCTTCACAGTGCTTTACAGCCCTCTCTAAGTGGTTTACAGAGTCAGCATATGGCTCCCAACAATCTGGGTCCTCATTTTACCGACCTCGGAAGGATGGAAGGCTGAGTCAACCTTAACTTTATATTCTGATTCTAAATACAAAAAGGCAGTAAGATTTTCATTCTAAAATGTATATGGCAGCATGTATTTACAACTCAGATATGAAGTATCTCATTCAAAGCTCATATGAAGACTAGCCTCAACCAGATCTATCTGCTAGAGTGCAATTCTATGTAGTAATTCATGTGCTTTGAACTTTTTAAAAAAAGTGAAAATCCAGCCTACTATAAATTGTACATGCATCACTCACTTAAGTTTATCACAAGATGGATGCTTGGATAGAAAATTAAATAGAAAGCTAACAGAAGAAAAACTAAATTGTTTTTACCATTTTATTTGAAAGTAACTACTGTATACAAAGCATTTACAATCAAGAAAGTTTGCAAGATTTTGACTTGCAAAAGTTAGAAATGAAAATGACAGTTGACAATGTAAACACTGTAAATGATTTTTTTAAAAGGATAACACACATTTATTGAGAACTAATATTTGGAATAGAATTGCATCCATAAATACTAGGATTTATAGACGTATTGGTTGGAACTTACATTTTTTTGCAATGTGGGCACTTTGCCAATGTGTTGAATCTCAGTTCCATCCACTGCAATAAAAAAACTGGGTTGAAAAAAATGCCAGCATGAAAAAATACTTATTTTGCTTCACATTAAATGTCATGGGGATCACAGCAAAATAGTTTACTTCTCATGACTTTTATTCCTTATTTTCTTTCGTCACTGCAATGCTCTGTTGCAGGCAATAGCCCCATGCTTTGTGGTTTGGGATTTCTATGTAAAATAATTTCCCATGACTTGCTAGTTACAGGCCTCTGTATATTATTCATGAATAGTGGTACCACTTTTCAATACTAATAGTTGTAATATCAAAAATATTTCATGATTATGATTTTATCTATATATAATCAGAGAGAGAGAGAAGAGACAGATTACTGATGCCCATAGAAAATAGTATTTTTAAATATTTTTTATTTCTAACTATAAATCTATAAGTTATATAACTATAACTATCAACAAAATCATGGCATGATTAAGAAAATTAATTGGCTTTTCATTCAAATGGTTAGCTAATAGCGCTGTGTCGTCTACCGTAGCTGTCATGTATTACAGGTAGTCCTTGAGTTACGACTGTAAGGGAGCCTGCCTAACACGGTCGTAAGTTGTAACAATCGGGTCATCCATGTAACCAATGTGATTTTACAATTTTTTTTGTTGTAGTTGTAAAGTAAGCCCTTTGTTCGCTATGGGCCAGTTTTACCAAATCCTGCAGCAAATGCCAAACCAGAAGTAAAATGCAGTCATGTGACCACAGGATGTTGAAAATAGCCAGTTGCTGGGCACCCAAAGTGAAATCACATGACTGTAGAGGGAGGGCATCAGAACTTTGAATCCAGGTTGGATGTAAACCCCACGGAGGTCCCTCATAACTTTGAACAGTTGCTAAGTGTCTGGTTGTAAGCCGAGGACTATTTGTTCATCTTCTTGTAATTGGAGATTCAACTTTCAGATTTAGTCCCAGGCGTCCATGCAAAATATATATCCTAATAATTAGCAATAAATATTTCATATTATTACATTAATTATTTAGAACAAAAACCTCTAAAATGGTTTGCTGTAAAGCTTACATTTTATCATGGGGCCAGCTTGTAAATGAACTTGCTATGGTAAAACCAAGTATGATAAAAGATTAAAAAAAAACCTCAGACTTGTTTGAATATTATATCCAATTAATTAATTTGATCCTCTTTTTGTTTCATTGTGACTGTACTTACTAGAAATGTATTTCCACAGTGTCCACATACTACTCTGGTGCCTTCTGGCTGAGCAGGTATTGCAGGCTGCGCTGGCTGCTCTTCTGGAATCAGCATAACTGGACCGAGATTAATGATGCGTCTACTGTCAGAAGTAATATGTCATACCATTTCAGAAAAAAAGAGAGAGAAAGACTCTTTTATCATCTAGTATCCCTTTTACAAAGAAAAATCATTGGCTCAGTTGTATTTGCCAAATTCCAGCACCAAACACAAAGGCAGTCAAGTAAACTGGTATCAATCCCTGTAAAATAATCAAAGTTTTGAAATATAGGCTTCTCTTCAAATGAATTAAAAAATGCCATAAAATTAAAAGTGCACATATTGAAACCAAAGCAAATTAGGAACAGACCATTCCATCTGTAAAGTCTGAAACATCTGGCGCAATGCAGGACTCCTAATTAAACCATTTCAGACAGTTGCTACTTAGCCTCAGCTTGAAAACATTTGGGGAGCTCTCACAGTAATTATTTCCATTGTCAAACTGCTTTGAGAACTGAAATTTTATGTAACCTGACTGCACTGCCTTGAAGTCTTAATCATCTCCGTAAACTATCATCCTTATAATTCAAGTAGCCATAAATCCTAAAGTAACTATGAAGAGTTCATTACTCTGATCCATGGTTTGTTGAAATAACTGTTTAAAGAAGTAATTGTATACTCTTTCTAGTATCTAGGCCAGTTGACAGACAACTTAAAATCCACTTTTTTGGTAACTGATTAATAGAGAAGTCTGGTTTTAGCAGTTACAAAAGTTAAGCAATTCAGCAAAAGAACTTAAAGTATCATCTAAAACAGAGGTGTCAAACTGCTGGCCCATGGGCCGGATGCGTCACGAGGAAACTGTGCCCACTCCATTGCTGGCAATCAGGAAAAAGTTCCGATATGTCGCGCAACGTCACGTGACGTCTCGAGTTTGACATATCTGATCTAAAAGATTAAAGTTTGGAGTTGAATACTATTCAGACACCAAGGGTACTGTAGTCAGGTCCAAACCACTCACAGCTCAAAGTCAAACTCATGGTGTCCTTAGTATACTTCAGAAAAATTACTATAAATTCTGAACTGATTGCATGCACTGCATTTTCTGAAATGGAGATAGTAAGGCCAATATCCTGATTGTATTTATAATTATTCACTGGAAAGTAAACAATACTTTAGTAGTATCTTTCTCGAAAGTTATAGATTCCTTTAGTTAAGATTGAGAAAAAAACCCTGCACGATTACTGTCTAGTTTTCTAAAATATCTTATTTCAAAATTTTAATTCGTAGAATTCTTGATTGATTAATTTTGCTGCAAACAATGTATTGGACCATTAGAAACTGATAATGAAACAATGAAAGGAGAGGGATCTCTATTGGTTTGGTATCAATTTTAAGAAAGCATTTTATTAATTAAATGTGGGATTGTCTATGGAGATTCTCAGTCATCCAGGTCATAGTTATCCCAAAAATGCTTTTTCACGAGACAACTGGACTTTCTTGTTTTTCTTTGAAGACATTTTGCTTCTCATCCAAGAAGCTTCTTCAGCTCTGACTGGATGGTGAGGAATGGAGTATAAATCTTTCCATTCCCCAACATCCAGTCAGACCTTAAGAAGCTTCTTGGATGAGAAGCAAAATGTCTTCAAAGAAAAATAATAAAGTCCAGTTGCCTTGTGAAAAAGCAACTTTGGGATAAATGTGGGATTCATTTTAATGCAATCAATAATGCTGGTACCATGTTTGCCCATGTGTGTGCGTGCTTGTGCATATTCTACTTTACAATCCTCTTCTACAGATTAAAGATGGTTAAATTGAACTTAGTGATCAATCTCCTTGATTAATCCACCTATCTCTGGATCAGTGAAACGGAAGGTGGATTAAACTCTTGGGCAAAAGGGATTAAAGCAAATATAAAGAGTTTCATCATTTAGGCCTAATCTAGCATTAAAGTTTCCAGAAATAACTATAGCATTATTAATATCATATCTAGTATGTAGTTTTCAAGCTCATCCCATGTATACATTAACTCAATATAAGTAGTCCTCGACTTACAACAGTTCATTTAGAGACCATTCAAAGTTACAACAGCACTGAAAAAAATGACTCAACCATTTTTCACAGTTACAATCTTTGCCGCATCCCCATGATCATGTGATCAAAATTCAGATGCTGGTTCATATTCATGATAGTTGCAGTGTCCCGAGGTCACAGGATCACCTTTTGCAACTTTCTGACAAGCAAAATCAATGGGGAAGCCAGATTTATTTAACAAGGTTACTAACTTATCAACTGCAGTAACTTGCTTAACAACTGTGGCAAGAAAGATCGTAAAATCGGGCAAAGCTCACTTAACAAATGTCTCACTTAACAATAGAAATGTTGGGTTTAACTGCAGTCGTAAGAAGAGGACTATCTGTAATTGCCATTGAGGTAATAAATATCAATTACCAGATATTACCAACTTTCCTCCTGCTTTCATATCCTTAAGTTGATGGAGTTGATTAGTTATGATGCCAAAGTATAAGAAAGGAAATGAAAATAATCCATCAAACTTTTGCCTAGTTAATTTCCCAGATTTAACCAGTAACTTGAACAACAAACACCTTTTCCTAGAAATTAAGTCAGTTTAGTACTCAATTAGTCATATTCTTATGCAGGTAGAGGATAATGTAATGGCCAACAATTAAGCTAAACTTAGACAGGACAGTTAACATTAGATTGGTGTATTACACTATACAACCTTAGAGAAAAATATTGTAACTATCCCAAGATATATTTTATCTTGCATTTTTCAATGTAAATATAGTAATAGATTTACAGGGTAATAAGACTGAGATGCATTCTGGCTCCTTTCCTATTCTGATTTTACTTCAATAATATCTTAAAAGAACTTTCCTCTTTTTCTTGACTATTTCAAAACTCTTCAAATTTAGTATTCGATTGTGTTTTGAAGTAGAAATCTTGTCCTGGCACTCATCTTTCTCCCAGTATTTGAAGTGCAAGGAAGAACCTGCTGACGTTGACTGCCTCATGACTCGCTATTATTTCAGCCGAAATAGCGGGTCACGTGGTAAGTCACGTGGTTTTCTTGGTACCTGTTGGTTTTAGTATTCATCACATCTTCCAGAACAAATTACGGACAAGTAACCTGATATCACTGTGTATTACTTGTTCTATATGCAGATGATATGGTATTACTTTGCACAATTCAAAATTTGTGCATGAAGCTTTTTGGATAAGCATAATGAATACTGCAGAACCAAGTTGTTTCATATCAATTATTAAAGATAAAGAACACTGAACTTTTCATAACAATGCAACTGAAAAGTGAGTTCATTTAAATAACTCAGTTATTAATTTCTTATTATCTCTGCTCTGAACAGCATGTATATTAAATACAAATATAATGGGCACATGTTTTATGAAATCTTACTGTTCCTTTTTATCCATCTAGAGCAGGCCACTTAAGAGTCGACTGAAGTAACATATTTAAAGGAAAATGATCTTTCAGCTACTACATGAATAGGGCATCTGGGGACTGGTGCTACTAAGTATGTCTACTGCTTTGCTGAGAATGGAATGGATCTTTGGTCCATTACTATCAGAATAGCTATACAACATTGGATGGCGGGCCTAGTTTGTGCCTAAATAAACAACGTTGTAGAAAATAATTTAAAGATAATGCCTGAGTCTGGAATTATTTATGGTATTTCAAATGTTGTTCCATTCCAAGGGAACATGCATTCAGCCCAACTTCTTAGGTTAATGTAAAGGATTGTTTGCTTTCAAGGACTTCCTTCCAGGATTAAATATAATTTTTAGCAGAAAGAGCTCAAGTGGCTAAATGTGGTTGCACTGGATCACAGGATGTTGAAATATTGTCAGTCCTTGAGACCAGCCTTTGCTTTGAATGAATTTCTTCAGCATATTTGTGTGCGAGGAGCAGAGAGGCACTCTTTGTAGAGCATCTCTGTATTTGTAGACAGTCTCAGATTGAAGATCTAAGGCAGTGATGGTGAACCTTTTAGAGACTGAGTGCCCAAACTGCAACCCAAAACCCACTTATGCATCGTCAAGTGCCGGGTGGGTGTGGCCAATTCGGTGGGTGTGGCCAATTCGGTGGGCATGGCTGCAGTGGTAACAGCAGACTGGGTGGGACTAAAAAGTTCAATCAATCAATTCCAACTTTGCAAGAACTTTTTTTTCCCTCGAGAAGTTGAAATTGACTGATTGAACCTTTTTTTTTTTTTTTTTGCACATGATGGCGGAGGCCTAAAGTGAAAAGGTTTTATAAAACCCAGCTGAAGGCCTAGGACTGGGGCGATGATGCATGTGCCCACAGATAGGGCTCTGAGTGCCACTTCTGGCACCCGTGCCATAGGTTCGCCACCACTGATCTATTTATTTATTAATTTGTTAAATTTATTTAAATACAAATACTCAATTCTAACTGAAAGATGGGACAGAAGGGAGAAATAGGATGAGTGGGGCTGGGAGCTGGGATCTGTTATTAATCTATCAACCAGCCCCAATGTGAAATCCCCTCCCATTGGAGCCTCCAATCAACTGGAAGAGCCAGGTATTTAAGCTCCTGCGGAAGGCCAGGGGATATGGAGCTGATGTCACTCCCGGGGGCAAGATGTTAGATTGTAAATTGCACAAGGCTTATAGAACCCAATTTATTTATCTGTGGTATCTTGATGCACTGAGATTCCTATAGAGAATTTGTTTTATCTTGGCAGATTTAGATGATGATGATGAGTACATTTTTATCCTGTCTTTTTTTGTATGGGTAGCCCTCCTTTAGTGACTGCCTCATACTGTAACTGTTAACAGTTATGACAGTGATGAAAAAAGTAACTTTGCAACCAATCTTTGCATTTATGACCTTTTCAGTTATGTACAGCAAAGAAAAGCTGAAGTAAGATAGTAAACACAGTTGCCGTTTCACTTAACAACCAAGTTGCCAGTCCCAGTTGTGGTCCCTAAACAAGAACTACCTGTTTGTAACTCAAGCTAGCAAACCTAACAATTACTAATGCCTCTTATCATAAAATTAACCAGCAAGTGGCAAGCAATACAAGCATCAGGAAAGATTAGCAATAGCAATTAAATATAAAGGGAGGAAATTGATTTAAATAATACATTTTTTGCTATGGTCTGTTTTTAGGTTTAGTTATTTGGAAGTTGTATGTATAAGTCTCTGAGATGAGATATGCCCAATGTATAGCCATTCTGTGGGTCTTCTACTAAAATAATTGGGTTGAAATAAAATACACTTCATAATAACAAGAGTTATTACTGAATAGGCCTAGAATATTGCTAAGGTTTGGAAGCAGCAGAAATGATATACATGTTCTTGCTATTTATTTAAAATTATTTATATGTATATCTATCTCAAAATAATAATTATGGTCAGCTATCAATGCATGAAAACATAACAAAACACAATGTAAAATATGTTTGTGTGTGTGTATTTGTGTAAAATCAGAAACATACTTTGGAATCAGACCTGGACAACTTTTAATCTGATGGCATTTAGGAAGGACTTAAAAACTTGACTTTTCCAGGTCTTGGGGCAGGTTGGAAGGGAAGTGATTGTTTTAATGTTATTGTTTTTGTATTGATGCTATAGTCCAGTGGTGGCGAACCTATGGCACGTGTGCCAGAGGTGGCACTCAGAGCCCTCTCTGTGGGCACGCGCGCCGCCTCTGCCAGCAGCTTGCGCAGGTCCATTAGGCCGCCACCACTGCCCGGAGTGGCAGCCCCACCCAGCACAAAGGAGGCGAAGCGGCCAGCTAGCAAGCTCAAGTGGAGGAGGTAGAGCACGCCCACACCCAGCATGCCAAAGGCCACCCCGAGCAGGGAAAGCCAGATCCCCATCAGCGCCATGGTCCCCCAGTCCCAGCTAGGATTGCGTGCCTCCCCCACATCTATGCTGGGCCTCCTGTCCACCGCCCCACCCGCCAGAGATCCCCTGGATCTCCCCCAACCCTGCCCAGCCCCCATAGGCGTCCCCCCCATGAGCAATATCAAGGTGGCCATGCCCACCCCAGCCACATCCACCCAGTCTGCCATGACAACTGCAGCCATGCCCACCCAGTGGGCCACACCTAACCAGTGGGCCACACCCCCATGCCCCCCGAGGGCACCACAATGCTGATGCGGCCCTGGCACTTTACGATAAATAAGTGGGTTTTGGGTTGTGGTTTGGGCACTCGATCTCTAAAAGGTTCGCCATCACTGCTATAGTCCATATTTCCAATATGTTGGGCTTTTTAATTGTATGTTTAAAATTTATGTTATTGTACTCAGTTCTGTTTTAGAATTTGAGCTGCTCAGAGTCATTATAATGTTGGGAAGTGCAAAAATAAAATAAAATTAAAAATTAAACACAGATAAACAGTACAATATAACTGAAACTTCTAGTAGATTACTTTAGAAAGGTAAATTAACTTCATCTATATGACTCAACAGATATCTTGATCCAATATCAGGTCTCCAAGGCCTTCAGGAGCTATATATATATATATATTTAAGATTAAGTAATCAACCTTAGCACCAATAATGATACTGTAATCAACAGAATTATTAATTTTCTATGAAAGCATGAATAGCTTCCATTAGAGATTCTGCTCATTCTCTCATAATTAAAGAAAGTGGATGTACACAAAAAATACTCATCTTCCTTTTTTCTGAGTCATTATTATTAATTTCCCATCGCTCCTCTGATTAATCTATATTTGATAATAGCATTAATAAATATCTTTACATCTGTTTGACTTGCATAGGCTAATGTCACAGTTTATATGAAATAAAACAATGAAAACAACCAAAATAATATTAAGGACACAGATTGAAAATTTTTGTGGCTCTTACCAATTGGGTCTTGGACATCCTATTCTCCGTGATGTATCCTTACAGATAAGCAGACAGTTACATGGACATCTAACATACTTTTTCCCTGAAGGAGGGTTTTTGATAGGCTACACAAACAAGAAAAAAAAATTACATACATGTTGATTCTCAAAAGAAAAAAAAGAACTTACAATGATTAAAACAGAGCAACAGAAATGATTCAACTTGCGTTAAAAGTGTTATAGCACAACATATTTTTCCTTTCAATTTAATACCAATTACTGGTACTATGTTTAAAATTCAAAGTTACATATAGAAATGTCAATGGCTGTTACTGTATGCATTTATAATAAAATGTCTATATTGTCCTCCTCTATCCTTCCTAGAGACTATGCAAGGCTTTCTTTAACATATACCCAAGAATGGTTATCATACAATTAAACAACACAATATATAACATAAACAGAGATGGTGCCATAAATTGCTGTTACTACAAACCAGAATCCTATTGTTGTTTACTTATTTAATTTTATAGATAAAGATCTCAAGAACCAGAATATTATAAAATATTTCTTTTTTTAGTTATTAAAGATTCCCCAGAATCAAATTACATAAACGTCTTCAACAAAAGAGTTTCATAAGTTGAGCCAATTTTGAGAAATGCGCAAGCAGAATTCCAAGAATTGGTGAATTGGCTTTTGGCTTGAAACAACCTCAATCAGCTGGCCAGACAATATTGGGAAAAATATTGAACAGAAGTGGGGTGAATACAAAATGGGTAAACTGGTGGCTATGCCAACAATCAGATGTAAGAACCTTTCAAAATCCTAAACTGTGTTATAAAAAAGGAGCTTTGTGCAAAAGAGTTAAGAAACGATGGTATGATTTGTTTTTGGCTATTAACATTGAAAAAGCTATTGTGGGTCTTTATCTGATTTCCATCAATCCTATTCTTTTTCTATCAACAGTATCTTATTTTTTCTTGCTAAAGAGATTCATGTGTGATGTAATAAAATCTTGGAATAATGTAATATAAGAAATAAAATATTCACTGCAATCAAAAATCAATAAAGATTCAAATGACATAGTTTTATGTTTGATATTGACTTTCTAATGATTTAAATTAGTTTCTAATATTATAATAATTATCTTTGATAATTAACAGAATATGTTTTTAATACAATTGTGAGAAAAAAAGAAAACACTTGCAACAGATGTAGGGTTATTCTGCTAAAAAATTTGAACAAACTATGTATTTATGTGGATATGTGTGTATGTACACACACAAACAGATACACAGAGAGAGAGACTAAAAGATTAACTAATTATTTAGCTAATTAGCTTAGAGCATAACAAATTAATACTGGACTAGTACAGGGCTACTTGCATTATCATTGGCCATAATGTTTGCCATTTCTGAAATGACTGTCCGACTCACAGAATTTAAATTCTCATGCAGCAACTGAAGCTAATTACCACTCTTCTTCCTGAATCATACTGAAAACATTCTTTCTTAGAAACAATCTATTCCCCAACCATTCCTTTTTATTTCTTTCCCCAAAATTCACGTAGCATCCTTCCAAATGAAGAAAATTTCTCATTTTCCCTCAGCTAAATTCATCTGTACTATTTAGAAGACATCTGGTGAAAGCAACATGTCCTTTCTCCCCCTATCTTCTGCAAGGATCTGGTGACCCATTGTTTCTGGAATCTGAGCAGTCTCCTATCATAGCTACCAGAGAAAATATCTATCATAATTAAAACTCCTTCCTCTCTCAGGAGAAGAAGAGATGTAACTCAAGACCTAATCAGATTACTGAACCACAAACATCAGAAGAGGAGGGGATTTGGGAGAAATAACGAAAACACTACCTCTTTTGTACGTATGTTGTAATATTTCACATATATAGGAAAGTGGCAGAGCTTATGGTACTACTTTTATGGTGCAACAAAAATGCTAGATCTTTCAAACACAGTTCCTATGAAATCAATGGAAAGCCAAACCCTTTATACATCCCTCGACAGTACTGATACACACACACACAAATATATTTTACATCAGTTATTATCACAAAGAAGAGTAAGATCAAAAGCCAATCTTACTACTACAAGTTCAAACAACGCTGTTTGCTACTGTTTCCTACTAAAAATATAACTATGGCTGTCCTCACACAAGTGATTCTTGTAATGGCATGTTGCACTCTTGACCACTGTAAAGAGGTCCAATAGAGCAGGGCTTTTCAACCAGTGGTACGGGTACCACCTGTGGTACATTGGCACCTGGCAAGTGGTACGCGAGCATCCTAGAAAAGTGGTAGCAGGGGAGGAGAATGAGCTGAACCGGTGGCAGCATCGCACAAGCCTGAGCGAGAGATGGCTGGAGCTGCAGGGCGGTCAGGGCTCAGCGGAAGCGCCAGGATCGACACTTCTTCGGGACTGTCTGGGCTCAGTGGAAGCACCAGGATCAGCGCCAGGCTCCAGCTGGAGCTCGGCGCTGATCCTGGCGCTTCTGCTGAGCCCAGACGAAGCGTTGATCAGCTGGAATGTTGCAGCATCTCCAGGGTCTTGTGATTTACATTCAGATGCTTGGCAACTGATTCATATTTATGACGGTCACAGCGTCCCAGGGTCATGTGAAGTGACCAAAACCTGCTGCAATCACCCAGTAGACGGGAGGAATAAAAACCAAACACCCCCACCCCACCCCCGCTGCCAATCCTCAACAGAAATGCTCACAATAATGAAAACCTCGGACAGGAGGAAGAGCGCCGCCGGGTGGGCAGGCAGGTATCTTGCTCGGCTGTGGCTTGGGGGGCACTTTTTTCAGTGCCATTGTAACTTTGAACCGTCATTAAGTGAATTGTTGTAAGTCGAGGACTACCTGTACTTCATCACTTTTTTCCTTTTTTTGGTCATCAAGTTTTTGACACCTTGCTAGGCGACTGGTGGTACTCGGATGTTGCCATATCCTAAAAGTGGTACAACGGGTGAAAAGGTTGAAAAGCCCTGCAATAGAGCATGTTATAGAATGAGAAACTTGTAAAGCCATTTACCGTAGCCTCGTTGCAGTCTGTGCACTTGACCACATGTTGGTGAAGCTTCCCTTCCAAATTGATTAGTGACTGGCACACACGGCAATTTATTACAGGAACACCACTGGCATCTGGGCTAGCAATGGCAGTGTAAGGTGGCGGGAGTTCTGCTACAGAAAGAAAAGACATGTTTGGGACAAAGCATCTGAAAGCCATTCACACAATGAACGCAGAACTAATAGGTCATGTGCCCTTGCAGTTAATTCAACTGTCCTTTCATTCAAAAAACCATCCACCTTAACACCCAAGTGCCATTGTTTCAGGATGCATTCTCTGTAAAAAAAAAAAAAAGCCAGAAATTTCTGGGTTGAAATACATATAAATATACAAAGAATTGTAAAGATGAACATTTTATTAAAACCAAAACTTTTCCGTTGCGATTAATGGATAGTCAATTAGGAAAGAGCCATGGAACAATGTTTTTATATATGATATGCCAGACTATTACATGTGCAGAAATGGAAAGATTTTGAAATGCCCACAATGGGGGAAAGATTGGTGAAGATGACAGAACTAGGCGACATGGCAAAATTAACTTGATTAGAGAAACAATTACATTTATCAGTAAATGTAATCAGTAATTACATTTATCAGTAATCCCTTATGGGCTTTTTGCAGAAAAAAAAGAAACATGAACTTGTGATTTATGGGTTTGAAGATTAGAAAGGGTAGCTTATGGAAAGAAGGAAATTATGATGTAGCTTTAAAGACAAAGGGCAAAATATAAATGTACTTATAACTGCCATCTAGAAGTCAAAAGCCACTTTTTTTATAAGCTTTTTCTGAAAAGCTACCATTTGTCAAAAAACTTTCAGTACCTGATACCTCTAATAAAATAAACTCCAGGCAACTTTAGCCCTGTATTAAGAGATATCAAAATTAGAAAAACTGTATCATACCAGTTTTGCAACTCTGAAATAACATATCTAAATCTGGGTTTAGATTTCAAATTAATATAATAACAATAACAATAACAATAACAACAATAACAATAATAATAATAATAATAATAATAATAATAATAATAATAATAATAATAATAAAAAAATAATGATGTTGGAAGGGACCTTGGAGGTCATCTAGTCCAACCCCTTGCTCAGGCAGGAAACCCTGTACCATTTCGGATAAATCGCTATCCAGTCTCTTCTTAAAAACTTCCAGTGTTGGAGCATTCACCGCTTCTGGAGGCAATTTGTTCCACTGGTTAATTATTCTAACTGTCAGGAAGTTTCTCCTTAGTTCTAGGTTGCTTCTCTCCTTGATTGCTTCTTGTCCTGCCTTCAGGCGCTTTGGAAAATAGCTTGACTCCCTCTTCTTTATGGCAACCCCTGAGATATTGGAACACTGCTATCATGTCCCCCCTTGTCCTTCTCTTCATTAAACTAGACATACCCAATTCCAGCAGCCGTTCCTTATATGTTTTAGCCTCCAGTCCCCTAATCATCTTTGTTGCTCTTCTTTGTACTCTTTCTAGAGTCTCAACATCTTTTTTACATCCTGGTGACCAAAACTGGATGCAGTATTCCAAGTGTGGCCTTACCAAGGCATTGTAAAGTGGTATTAATACTTCATGTGATCTTGATTCTATTCCTCTGTTAATACAGCCTAGCACTGTGTTGGCTTTTTTGGCATCAACATTACTTTAGTCATAGATTGTACCCAGGATTGCAATGAAAAATTTATTGTTTCACCTATTAGTAAAGACAATGCTCAACAAGCACACAAGTTAGCTGGGATTATGCAGAATAGGACTAACATGGCTTGTTTCATTTTAGCCTTGGATTTTAGAAGGCGACATATGCCCAAAGGATTCCTTTGAGCTAAATTCCCCTTTGCAAAATACTTTAAAATGACATACATCTTTGTATTTTTAAATATGCAAACAAAGGATTTGGATTGAGAAGGATATGTTCCTCACACACAAATTCCCCTCTACAACAGATGGCAGATGAACTAAAGTCAAGCCAATCACCCCAATTCTCACCTTCAAAGACTTGCTGACTCTATTGGATTACTGTATGCTTTCTACCTTGAGCTGGACTCAAATGTTTGCTGGCTCTTTGAAGTGTCTATTGATTAAGATCCAAGAAAATCCGCTGGAGATCTTAAATTTCAATCAAACCTTTCCTGGCTTGTACATATGACAACCGTGTCCGATAGTTCCTTTCTTTGACTCAGACTTTTGTTCTCTTAGCACATTGCCCTGCCACTTCCCTCACAGTGCTTTGTTTTTAGCAAAACTTTTTTTTCAACTGTAGATACATCTAGAATTTAAGAAAGCATTCTGCAATAAAGATTTGCTATCATGGAAGTGAGGATTTGGTCAAACATGAAATGTTATATGAGACTTTTATGCCTTCTCTGCTCACTTGTGTGTGTATACATGGATGAACCTCATGTAGTCTCTCTCGATCTCATCTACACACATGTGTTCCATTACGAGCACTGTCATTGTTGCCTTTCCTTGAAATACCAGACTTTTTGAATAAAGGGCAGAGTTACCACCATCTGAGCTCTGCTGCTTATGAACTGAGCCAGCTTGAAATAATTAAAAATAGTTAATTTTAAAAAAGACAAGTTGGAGTGACAGGGAGCCTTAGCTCAGACAGAATGGTGCTGGCTTCATCTTATCTATTGCTACAAGATATAAAGAATGGTAGCCACCTTGAATGGCACTGAAAATAACAGTTTCACTTAATTTTATGACTGAAAGGCAGATTATAAACCCAGGCAAAAGATTAGTCCAAAACTAAGGAACCTTGTGACAATCATTTAAAGAGGAAGTAAGCTTTTGGAGAGGCTCCAGCTGCTAACTTGGTAGCATTTCAAAGGAATTCCTTGGGAGAAACCAATACATGTAAGTTAGTCCGTTTCCAGTATTATACATCAAGATTTGCCCCTACATTGCAAAATATTTACACTGTCAGACAATACACAATACTAGCAGATGTGGAAATGTTTGTTCCTATTTCCCAGTCATTTCCAAAAGGCCTCATTTTCGTAAGTCTCTTGTGTCCTTAGATCAAAAGGGTTCAAGCCATCTTGCTAGCACTGGTGTGTACAGAGATTTAGAGCCCCTTTTTGACGTCAGTCACATCTCCAGAAATAAATGGTGAACAATTCAGTGAAGAGAGAGAAAAACAGAACTTCCTTTAGCCTTTACCTTACATCCAAGAAAGTGTGTGGAACACTTTCATGATCACAAGTCAAGGAGAGTAAAGACTTATTTAGCACTTCAAGACATATGGAAGATTTGCTGTTATAAAATCTATATTCTCTTTGGCTTCACACTCACAAAAGCCAACACTGATGCACAGAATAAATATTACACCTATTTCCACTTTTTCCTTTCCCAGGAACATTTGTTTTATTCAGACACAATATATTCAATACAATCCCTGCTCTGCAATTGGAAAAGACAAAGGCAAATTTGGGTTCGCTCCTTTCATATTAGAAAGATGCTCCATTATTGTAATGCTAAAGGAAAATCTACACCCACTTGTCTAGACCTTGAATCCTAATCATCAAGAGGAAAATGGAAATAAAGTAGGGAAAAATGAACAGGAAAAACCACAGCTGCTATACTTCCATTTTTAGTTGGAGAGCTCCATCCATCGGATGCATCAAACCAGAATATAAAAATGAGAGGATTTGTGACTCCACTGGGCAAGTGACACAACTGTGTACTTGCATCATAGCATATGTTGCAAAAAAATAAGTTATTTGCATGATAGTCATGATGCTCATGTCAACATCACTCCCTCCCCCACACACACATACATGTAGGCTTTCCCCATATGGATAGCCTTTGTGTCCAATTCCCAAATGTGCCAAATCCATATCAATGGTTACTTATCTGCCAACAAGCTAATCTATATGAAGCATTAAGTAGAAAGCTTGCATAACTACCAGTATCAAAGAAACCTTCAGTATTTTTTTTCCAACTAACACAGTCCCTGCAACCATTCTTTTAAACCTCTTAATGTCTTGGGGGTCCCTTAACAGCACTGCTTCAATTGACCCTTAAATGCATTATGAGAGAATTGAAGGGAATTTGAGTGCAGAGAGGAGCAGTCAAATTAGAGAGCAGGTGCCTTAGGCAGCTGTAGCTGACATCCCCTTCAGCAAATGACACAAGGAGAGGAAATTGGAGCTGCCTGGTTTCCATCTGGAAGGTTAGTGGAGAGACTAAATTGTTCTTGCCCCTTCTGGGATGCATGAGGGAGGATCCTGCTCCTTCTGCCTCCATTGCCTTTGCCTTGAATACGCTGAGACAGAATGTTATTAAGAGCCTGTGACAGTGATGACAAACCTATGACACGGGTGTCACAAGTGACTCCCCACAATGTTTCAGATGACCTACCAGCATTTACCAGCCCCCAACAATCATTCTTGAAAGCACACCCCATTCTTGCACAATTTGGGAAGGCTGTGTGAGAACGGGGTGTGTGCTCTCATGGAACCTCCAGACCTCCCCTCCAGAAGTCACATGAAAGGGCTGTGCTCTCACGTGACCTCTGGACACACTCCCTCCAAGAATTGTGTGAGAATAGGACATGCTTTGGTATGATTTTAGGAGGCTCCAGAGGCCACGGAAGAGCATTCTACAAAGATGCTTCAAGAACGAAGGCCCTCATAAGACTCAGAGTTGTTTTGGGTAGGCCCCAGGGGCCTGTCAATAGAAGGAGAACACCACTTGAACACATGATTGGATTGTACATTTTATAAAATAAATTAATATGTAAACAGTTGTTTCTTTTGTTTTGGAGAGGGTATGATGACATGCCAGCAGAATCACCTTAGGCATTTTCTGAATTTTTGGCATGCCAAGCCCAAAAGGTTTGCCATCACTGACCTAGAATGACTGCTCAAAGCTGCTATGTTTCACCTCACCCACCAAAAATGTAAAATAAATGGCCTAGGAAATAGCTTAACCTGCCTCCTATAATCTTCCTCTTTCAGATTTCTGGAACCTCTGACAATTGGCAAAAATAGATACTTTCTATTGTTTTAGGGGAACATGTGCATGAAACTTAAGTTAAATCCCTAAACTAGATTTATTCATTAAACTCAAGAAACCCAAAAATCTTTGATCCTGCTCTCACACACATCCTAGCATATCTACTTTG